TGACCGTGCAGGCCCAGAGGGATGCCTACCCTTAGTTTGTTGAAAGTCTTAAATGAGCTTCTTTTTTTTTTTTTTTTGAACTAATGTTTTTATAGTTACCTTTTTTTGTGTGTGTGTGTGGCTGTGTTGGGTCTTCGTTGCTGCATGCAGACTTTCTGTAGTTGTGGCGAGCGGGGGCTACTCTTCCTTGCAGTGCGCAGGCTTCTCATTGCGGTGGCTTCTCTTGTTGCAGAGCACGGGCTCTAGGCACGTGGGCTTCAGTAGTTGTGGCAAGTGGGCTCAGTAGTTGTGGCTCACAGGCTCTAGAGCACAGGCTCAGTAGTTGTGGCACACGGGCTTAGTTGCTCCGCGGCATGTGGGATCTTCCTGGACCAGGGCTCAAACCCGTGTCCCCTGCATTGGCATGCGGATTCTTAACCACTGAACCACCAAGGAGAGTTTCTCTTTTTTTTTTTTTTTGCGGTACGCGGGCCTCTCACTGCTGTGGCCTCTCCCATTGCAGAGCACAGGCTCCGGACGTGCAGGCTCAGCGGCCATGGCTCACAGGCCCAGCCGCTCCGCGGCATGTGGGATCTTCCCGGACCGGGGCACAAACCCGTGTCTCCTGCATCGGCAGGCGGACTCTCAACCACTGCGCCACCAGGGAAGCCCGAGAGTTTCTCTTTTAATTTCACTGATTTCACAACAGTTTTCTTAGAAGGCAGACTGTCTCTCTGGCGGTTAAACTCTAGGGCTGATTCGCCCAAGCCAAGGCTGGCGCCACCCCCACTCACACTAAGCAGTCAGAACAGTGATCCCTGAACTTTCTGGATCAGACAAATCTCCTGGGGCTCCTGTTGAAATGCAGATGCACCCACATCTCCCCCAAGAGGATACAGAGGTTCAGGAGGCCCAGGGCCACGGAATCTGTATTCCTAACCCAGGGTCCCAGGTGATTCTTAAAATCAATTGGGGTGGTTGAGGACAGGCAGGTAGAACTGCATATTCCTGGCAAAGCAGCCAGCCCATGCAAAGGCCCTGGGGCATGAACAAAAGTGGTAAGATCAAGGAATTCCACTGATGTCTTCCACAGCACTCGGAATGAAATCCTCATGTCTTTTGCCATGATTTGTAGTTCTGCGGCCCTGCTGTCTCTCCATCCCACAGCTGGACCCTCTCTCCTGGCATGGTAGCCCAGTCACACTGGTGTCTGTGTGCCTGGGAAATAGTTCCTCATCTCGAAATGCTCTCCCTCTGGTCTTGCCATGTCTGATTCCTCCCCCATTGCACATTTCAGCTTAAACATCTCCTCCTTACAGAGTCCTCCGGAGTGGTCACCTCTCTAAAGCGGGGAGGGGCTCCACATTCATCTCTAGAATCAAGCCCTGTTTGTTTCTTTTGTAACACAATAATTATGGAGAGTTATCTTGTTAATGTGTGTTCCTTGAGGGCAGGGACTTAGTATACTTCATGGTTGGATCCCTAGTGGCTGTCAGCACCCAGCATATGCAGTGGTGGGCAGTAAGACATTCGGGGAATGGGCTGAGAGTTCTGTACGGGGATGGGGGGGGAGCAGGATCCACAGCATGGATGCTCAGAGTGGTCCTGCCTACTCCACCCACCCTGCCCCAGGAAGATGGACATGAGTGCCACCATGGTCTCCCTGGCCAGTGGCCGGATGTTACCTGCTTGGTCATTCAGCTGGTTATAGCTCAGGTCCAGGGGTTTCAGGCCTGTGTGGGCCAACAGGAGTTCAGCAAGGTACTGGGCCACCTGCTCCTCCAGGCCATTCCCTGCCAGCTGTGCCTTCTGCACAGCCGGGTTCACCGCCAGGGCGGCACAGAGAGCCCAGGCTCCCACCGCTCCCAGCTGGTTCTCTGACAGGTCCACATCTGGGGGCCAGCACCACTCCTTAGTGGTGGGATCCAAAGCCAGGCATCACCCTCCTCCCTCCCGCACACCTTCCAGGCCTGACACAGCAGGAGGGGCCTTGCAGTCAGACTGTCCAGGGGTGGATGGTGAGTCTGCCACCCATCAGCTGGGTCCCCTCCGGCCCCAGGCAGCTTCCCAGACCTCAACCCCCACTCCATGTCTCCACGAGTTTTGTCAAGAGGCTAAAACCACCTACTTTGTGGGGCTGTGGAGGACGTCTGCGATGTAGATGCAGCCACCCCGCTGATGATTTGTGCGTGGCATAACACAGCCCACCCACAGAAGCCCCCACTGCTACATTTCCGGGGACTGGCAGTGACAGCCCAGGTGGCTGTGTATGGAGCTCATATGTGAGCAGACGCTCCGCTGAGCATATGTTTCCCACATACCCAAGGTCTAAGTGGCATTGTTGGGCCCACTTCACAGATTGGAAACTGAGGCTCAGCAAGGTTGGCTCCTTGCCCAGGGTCACCCTGCCACAGAGGCGGCATTTGAATCCAGCCCTGACAAACTCCAGCACCCTGCCTCCCGCACTGCCCGGCCCCTGACCCTCTGTGCCGCACTCTCCCACCTGCCTTCAGGCACTGGGAGGATGACGTATGCAGGGGTGCTGGCTAGCAGAAGAGGGTAGAGGAGGGGTCCAGCACTGGGTGCACCACAGAGGGTCTAACTCCACCCCACCCTCCCCACCCTGTGATGAGGCTCTGCCCCCAGCAACACCGGCAGGTCGGGGGGTGACAAGGCCCGGTGTGGGGGTAGCCTGCCCCCCTGTCCCAGGCACGGCACCTACCACAGATACTGCTTTTGCTCAGAGCACCTGCCAGGGCCTCCGTGCCGGCCCCACAGAGCCCACTGTCCCGAAGTTCCAGCCTCTTGATGTAGGGATTGGAGGTCAACACAGAAGCCAGAGCCTGGGCAGCCTGGGGCAGAGAGGGGCCTGAGACCTTCCCAGAGCTGAGGGCCCCAGATAGCTAGCCAGTACCCAGGCTCTGTTTGCAGGGCTCAGCCCACTCGGTGCCCTCCAGCTGGAAGGACCTCCCCTTCCCACAGGCCCAGGGACATCTGCTTCTCCTTATAGGCTCCACCCAGGAGCTTCGCTGACCCTCCAGCAAGTTATGGGCCGCTTGCAGGCTCCCCAGCCCTTGTACTGAACTTTGTCATAGCCCCGATCCCACCTGTCACCCATTGTGGGGGATGGGACATGCCTGGTACAGAGCAAAGCCGAGGAGTGTGTGGATGGGCTCAGGAAGGGACCACACCCATGGCTGCTGCTCCCAGGTCCTTGCCCTCCAAGCCTGGCCCCAGGATCCCTCCAGGGGTAGCTGGGGCCCCAGGCCACGGTGCTGCAGGTTGAGCTCTGGGGTGCTCCCTTGGTGCAGAAAGCAGGAAGCAGGCACGACGCTGTGGGCCCAGCAAGACCTCAGGTAGAGGGTATCCTTGCCCAGTTCTCCCAGCTTATGGGTGCCTGATAGGAGACAGGGATGGATGTGGACCCCTCCCCTGCCTCCATCACTATGCAGCCTTGTTTTCCTTCTAGAGGCATTTCCTCCTGCTAGTAGGGACTGTTGCCCCCACATACAGACAAGGACATTGAGGCTCAGAGAATGCAAATCCTTTCCCCAAAGTCATGCAGCTTATAGCAGCTGATCCTGGCCCTACCCTGCCTGTCTGACACCAAAGTGCATGCTGTGTCTTCCGCTGGATTGCAGACCACATACGCTTTATGAACATTTTATGGGGAAGGAAGCTGAAGCAATTCTAAGTTCTATACATCCATTACTTTAGTTTCTCCTGAGGGTTGGGAAAACCCAGCCCTGATCCCATGTCAGGGTGGGACAGCCCTTCTTAGACTGTTTGGCAGGATTTTTGCATCTTAACATCATTCTGGAAGCCTGTTCTAATCGTGGAACTCCTGATGCCTCCAGGAACATTACGGAGATGGCACAGGGCTGGAGCGGCCGCCGGCTGCCCCGAAGGTGTCCACGGAGGGATGCGCTCCTGCTGGACAGGGTCCCCTGCCTACTTGGCCCCAGCCTGCCCCCCGACCCGTAGGCACCTTCTTTCTCCTGGTCGGAGTTCGAATCCGCGTCCGAACCCTTCTGGGCCTCCGGGACCCCTGCAGGACGCCCAGCGGCCGCCGCCGCCCCTTCCTCCAGCTCTTCCTTCTCTCCAGGCCCCTCGCAGGGACCCCTCATGGTTACTTCCACTCTGCACTCGCGGACACCGAGGCCGGGACTGCGAGGGCTGCATCGGGAGCGCAGCCAGGGGATGTGGGCAGACCCTCCGGTGCATCGACCTATCGGATGCGACGCATGGCGAACAGGCGCCCGCTACAGCCAATAGAGAGCCTCCCGGGCGGCAGTTGCCCAGGCGACCCCGAGTTGTTGGTTGCTGCGGACAACGCTGCAGCCCCGGGCTGACCTTGACCTGCTCGCAGCCAGGAGCGATTGGCGCGTGGCGGGCTTGTCTTCCCGTCGCCCTAGGCGGCTCCAGCATAGCCCCCTTTCCACTCCAGAGACTGGGGGTGGGGCAGCTTCTCGGGGGCGTCGCAGAGGAGGCTGGGGGACCTTGCAGGGCCTGGCCACCTCCTCTCTGGAGCCAGGGTCTCGCTCCCATTCTGTGAGTCCCAGCTCTCACACGCTTTAGCGTCGCATATGTTGCTCCCTCCACCGAGAACATTCCTCCCCAATGCTTCTTGTTGAACTTAAGATCTGCAAGTGTCAGTTCAGAGGTTGCTTCTTCCGCAAGCTTTCCTTGTCCTCCTCTGGGCTCCTGCTGGCCCATGCTGCCCTCTCACAATACCTATCCCACCTGTCATCACCCCAAGGAGGTGAGGCCAGAGGGCAGTGGACAGAGACTGCGCCTCTCTGTGTGTCTGGGGCCCAGCAGAGGGAGTCTGAAGCGGATGGGAGGCCCAGGGCAACGGGGGGTTGGGCCTGGGAGGTGGAGGCTGAATCCTGTCCTGAGTGTCCCTTTAATAGCTGCTGGCCTGGCCCGGCTTGGCGCCTGCTTCTTGCTTTACCTCCTGTTCAGCTGTGGCTGCAGCTGCTGTGCTGACTCACGCGCCCCAGCCGCCGGCAGGATCTGGGAGCATGGGCTCCCCAGGGGCCGTGGTGGGCTGGGGGCTTCTGGATTACAAAACGGAAAAGTATGTGAGGACCCGGAACTGGCGGGTGGGCGCCTTGCAGAGGTTGCTGCAGCTGGGGGTCATGGTCTACGTGGTGGGGTAAGAGAACGGCTCCTGGGCGTGCTAGCCGGAGGGATCACGACTGGTCCTGCTGGGCTGAGGGGTGAAGGTCTGACTCTTCAGGGGCTGGGCTGGTGGTTGTGGAGCAGGTCAGGAGGTGGGCAGAAGGAAGGCTCTCCGTCTGTCTAGAGGCCAGTGGGGTGTAAGAGCAGGTTGTGTGCTTGGGTGCCCACCTGCATTCTTTCCTGTGCCTTGTTCCCAGCCCCATATTGGGCTTGGGCACAGAGCAGGATGGGCCCCCATCCCTGCACAGGAGGCCCCCGGCCGGCAGGAGGTAGTCCCTGACACTTGTGAGAGCTGAAGCACTAAGGCCCCCAGTAGAGACCAGTTTAAGCTGGGTCAGGGTAGTCTTTAAAGAGGAAGCTGGATCTAGGCCAGGCAGGAGGAGGGGATTGGCTGGTGAAGGAGGTGGTGGTGGGCATCTCCAAGCCCATGGGTGCCTGGTGAGGGTACTGGCTCTCCTATGCATGGCCAGAGCCTCTGGCCTGTGCAGGGTGTTTGGTGCGGGAAATGAGGTGGGGAGGAGGTGGGGCCCCTGAATGCTGGCCTGGGAGCCTGGAGGGTATCGGGGGAGAGACTGAGCAGGTGGTCCCAGATCTGCCGTGTGCCAGGGACATACCATACCACCTGTTGCCTCCTCCTCAGGTGGGCCCTCCTCGCCAAAAAAGGCTACCAGGAGCAGGACCTGGACCCCCAGATTTCTGTCATCACCAAACTCAAAGGGGTTTCCGTAACCCAGATCAAGGACCTGGGGAACCGGCTGTGGGATGTGGCTGACTTCGTGAAGCCACCACAGGTGGGTGACTTGGTGCTGCTGCCAGGTACTGGCACCTCTGATACCATCCCTGCACCGAGTGTGTGCGAGAGAGGGATGTGATGCCAGAGGGGGTGCTGGTGCTGTCACAGGGCCACGCTCGAGAAGGGCCTTACAGAGGAGTGGTGTCTGGACAGGGCTTTCAGGGATGTGTAAGAGGTTTCCGTGCAGAGGAGGTGATGTGATGGGAAGCCAGACCAGAGGGATGCATTTACAAAGTCTGCATCTGGAGTAGATAAAGAAGATGTGGTACATGTATACAGTGGGATATTTCTCAGCCATAAAAAAGAATGAAATAATGCCATTTGCAGGTACATGGATGGACCTAAAGAGGATCATACTAAGTGAAGTAAGTCAGGCAGAGACAGACAAATGCCATATGATACCACTTATATATGGAATCTAAAATATGACACAAATGAACTTATCTATGAAACAGAAACAGACTCACAGACATAGAGAACAGACTTGTGGTTGCCAAGGGGGAGGGTAGTGGGGGAGGGATGGATTGGGAGTTTGGAATTAGCAGATGCAAACCTTTATATACAGGATGGATAAACAACAAGGTCCTGCTGTATAGCACAGGGAGCTATATTCAGTATCCTGTAGTAAACCATAATGGAAAAAAAAATAAATTAAAAGTCTGCATCTGGAAAGGAGAGGAGTGTCTAGAAGCTCAAGGCTTGAGCTTGAGGGTGGGGTGAGAGGGGTGCAGGGTGCCGAGACCTGGAGCTTCCTGGACGCCTCTTCTCTGACCTGGAACACTGCTGTCGAGTGCTTCTCCTCTGCCCCTCCCATGCTGCATTTCCGGCAACTTCTCCTTCCACCCGATCGTCCACAACCTTAGTTTCCTCCTCTGTCCTGCCGGTGCCCAAATTCTAACCCCGGTGACCACCTGCCCTGAGCACAGCTGCCTCCTGGGTGCACACCCGCCACATCCAAAGAGAAATCATCTCCCTCTCCCAGTGTGGCCTTTTGTCATCCAATGACATCCACCAGTGCCGAGGCTGGACCTGCTGGATACCTTACTGTCCCTCCCTCCTGTTCATACCATTTCCTAACAGCTTTCACAGCTGCTCACACCATCCCTGAATGGCTGAAGTCTCTGGTGGGTCCCCATGCGGCATCCAGGCTGAGCCTGCCAGCCCTTACCTTTGACCCTTAGGAGGCTTCCTTTCATGATGGTGGCCACGAAGCCCCTCTAGATCCTGACTACCACCATACCGCTGCCTCTGCCTCTGCCCAGCCCTCGCCTCCCCTTCCTGGGCGTGCATCCCCCACACCCGCTGAGCTCTCGTGTGCAGCACAGAGGCTCCAGTCATCTTTTGTCCAAACAGAGCTTACCTCCGGCTCCCCTGGCCCCTGGCCATGCCTGCAGTGAGGGGCACACCTCCCCACTAGCCTGGATCTTCAGTGCCTGGAAGCAGGAGGCTCTTGGAAAATTCTGGTTGAGCAACTAAATGAATGTGGGAGGCACACATGGGCTCAGAAATGGCCAGCAGCCCAGCCAACCTCCTGTCTCTGCCTCCTCCCTTGCCTCACTGGAGAGCGTTTTCCTGGGGCTCAGGGCTGATGACCCTATGGGGCCAGGGCCCCTTCCCGCACAAGCCAAGCTGCTGGCTTCTGGCATCTCCCGATGGGAGCGGGGAGCAGAGACCAACCCTGACACTTGTCTTCTAGGGAGAGAACGTGTTTTTCTTGGTGACCAATTTCCTTGTGACGCCAGAACAAGTTCAGGGCAGATGCCCAGAGGTAAGGCTGCCTGAGGGCTTCCCAGCGGGTTCCTAGTTCCAGAATCTCCTGCTGCTGTCCCCCATGAGGTGTCCAGGCCCCTCCACATCCTGGTCCCACCTCTGGGCATTCTGGAGGTTGTCAGGGTAACACCCAGAATGGGGCACAGTGCTCAGGTGGGCTCTTATAATAGCAAGAGGCAAGCTGGGGGACTTCCCTGGTGGTGCAGTGGTTAAGTGTCCGCCTGCCAATGCAGGGGACACGGGTTCGATCCCTGGTCCCACACGCTGCAGAGCAACTAAGTCCCTGCGCCACAACTACTGAGCCCATGCACCACAACTGCTGGAGCCCATGTGCTTAGAACCCATGCTCTGCAACAAGAGAAGCCACCACAATGAGAAGCCCGCGCCCCACAATGAAGAGTAGCCCTCGCGCGACACAACTAGAGAAAGCCCGCACACAGCAACGAAGACCCAGTGCAAACAAAAAGAAACAAAAAAAACCAGGCAAGCCCTTTTCTATGCACAGCCTCTATTAATGTGTGCTGGGGCAGCTTCCATTTTTGTGCGCAAACAGCACACTCCTGCTTATGCTGCACTCAGGGTCCCTTATGGTCTCTGGGTACTTTTCACTACAACTGTGGTCAAGCCCGTCTCCTGCCATCTTCAGATCCATTTCTTATCCAGAAATGCAGATCCTCCCCCTGAAATCTCACCTTTTCCCCTTGCCTAGGGATGTCCCAGGGATCCAGTCTCTGTCACAGAGCCCACTGACTCTTCTCTCCAGCTGTGGATTTTTTTCCAATTTTTTAAATTGTGATAACATACATGTAACATAAAATTTACAATCTTAACCATTTTTAAGTGTACAGTTTCCTAGCTGTGGATTTTGTTTGAACAGTCAGGAACCAGGACATAGCCTTGGAAGCCTACCTCCATGGTGACATCTTTCTTTAATCGAGGCTAAAAGTTAATTGCTTGCTGGGCTGGAGAGTAACTGTGTGGTCCCTGCCCCTAAGTCCTGGTCGTTGGTCCCACCACAGTTGCTGGGGATGTCACATGTCCCTGGTCTGCCCCATCCTCAGAGGAGGTGATGTGTGTGCACTGGGCAAACGCATGATGTCCTTCCCTTTCCAAATGCTCAGACGACGCCTATTTATTGTTCAGTGTGTGGACTGTCCTGAAATTTTTCTGGGGCCATGGTTCTGCATTTTCTGGAATCCATGGGATTCCTCTTTGCCCTGTGTCCCGGCTTCTGGCTTGTCCCATGAAACTGACCACCAGATCTGACCACCCGGCTTCCTGAGAGCAGCTCCTCTGAGGGTCCTGGTCGTCTGGTCCCTCCCAGCACACCGTGCTCCCTGTAGTGTTACAGCTTCAGAAACCTGCTGAGCCTCCCCCGGGGCTGCAGAAGTCCAGCCCGCATACGCCAAGGAGCTTCTGCACAGACAGCCCAGCCACGATGCCAGGTCCTGCGACAGGGGCAGAGGCTGCAGCTGGGAGCCCCAGGGAGGCGCCTCCTCTGCCAGCTCAGGGCCTCAGGAAGGGTTTCCCACTGGACTCAGAGACTCAGTCAGGATCTTGAGGCTATCCAGGCAGAGGGGGCTGCGTGGGCAAAGGCCCCTGCTGTATGGGGTGAGGCATCTCTGGGGTCACCTGCTGCTCAGTGGGGTTGGAGCCTGTTTGGACTGGAGTGGGAAGGGTGGAGCCCAAGATATCAGGGCCCCAAGAGCCCTGCTGTGGAGCTGAGCTTGATCACAGGAGCATGGGGGGCGCAGAGGGGCTCAGGGGAGGGGCACTTCATCTTCTGTGCCTTGGGAGGGATGATTCAGGCTGCTGGATGGAGGAGAATGAGGCCGAGATGGGGACCCATGTTGGTCACCATGGGGTCTGGACAAAGGAGATGGTGGCCCAGCCAGGGTGGAGAAGAGGGGCAGATTCAGGACACAGGTAGGGACAGCAAGGCAGAGCAGGTGGCTCCACACTGTCCTCTGCCCTCTAATCACATTTGGCTCAGAGCCCCTGAGCCCTTCTTACCACCAGATGCTGTGTCCCCCCTGCTGCCCCTGAACTGGGTGCCCTGGGCAGCAGCGTCAAGCCTCAGCCGGGACAGAACTACAGAACTGCGTCTGTGGGCTGTGCCTTCCTTTCGGGGCCTGGGACCCCCGGAAAGCTCACCACCTTCCCCTCTTGGCTGATCCCCAGAACTCTGTCGCTGTGTGCAGGCACCTATGTCCCTGTTTTACAGAAGAACCAGCAGGGAAGGGAGGAGCCTGTGTACTTCCCAGGCCCCTCCCACCAGGGCCGCCCCCTTGGTCAGCCCCCAGCACCTCCGCCCTGGCATGAACTCACCTTCCCCACCGTCCTGCCATCTTCCCTGTTCTGTCCTCTGAATTGGACCAGAGGAGCTAGGCCTGGATGAACCACTTCTTTTTTAAAAAATATTTATTTATTTGGTTGTGTGGGGTCTTAGTTGCTGCAGGCGGTCTCCTTAGTTGTGGCTCGCCAGCTCCTTAGTTGCGGCATTCCAACTCTTAGTTGCGGCATATGGGATCTAGTTCCCTGACCAGGGATCAAACCTGGGCCCCCTGCATTGGGAGCGCAGAGTCTTATCCACTGCACCACCAGGGCAGGGCAGTCCCCCTGGATGAACCACTTCTGCCCCGACAGAAGTAGCAGGGCAGGAGTCTTGCTCAGCCTTGGAATACAGCAATTGCACCCCTACCCAGCCAGGGCTGTTCGCGCCCCCCTTTCATTTGCACCCTCCAGCTTTCTCTTGGGCCCCCAAACTCAGGGATCCCTGAGAGGCTAAGGCAGGGAGGGGCGTGTCCCTGTGGACTGCAGGGCAGGTCACGGAGGAGGCATCCCTCGGCCCTTGGCAAGTCTGCTCTCTCACCCCTAGCACCCCTCCATCCCGCTGGCTAGCTGCTGGGCCGACCAGGACTGTCCTGAAGGGGAGACAGGGACCCACAGCCACGGTAACCGGCCCCCCCAACCCCCACCTTGCAGTGCTTCCACTGGAGTGGGGGCTCCGGGGGCCTGGTGGGACCCTGGGTGGCTCATCAGTGCACATGGTGCCTCTGCGTCTCTCTGTCAACGGCCCCCTCCCCACCCCTCCCCAGGCCCCATGGAGATTTGAGGGCCTGGAGTTTGTCTTGCATTTTCAAGGCATAAAAACGGGCCAGTGCGTAGTGTTCAACGGGACCCACAGGACCTGTGAGATCCGGGGCTGGTGCCCAGTGGAGAGTGGTGCTGTGCCTGTGTAAGTCTCCCCCGCATCCTCCATCCCTGCCCCAGGACCACAGAGCCTGCCACTCACCGCCCCCCCCCCCCCCCCCTCCCCCGCCCTGTCCCCTGCCCCACAGGAAGCCCCTGCTGGTCCAGGCCGAGAACTTCACGCTGTTCATCAAAAACACCGTCACCTTCAGCAAGTTTAACTTCTCCAAGTAAGGTGGGAAGGTCCTGGCTGGTCGAAGACCCTCTGTGTCCCCTGCCTGGCCTGACCCTCGCCCACCCCTTTCAGGTCCAATGCCTTGGACACCCAGGACCCAACATATTTCAAGCGCTGCCGCTACGACCCGCGCTCCAGCCCCTCCTGCCCTGTGTTCCGCATCAGGGACCTCATGGCTGCCGCTGGAGGGGTCTTTGAGGACCTGGCGCTGCTGGTGGGTCTGTGGTTGGGGGCAGGGTTCCGGGAGGGCTGGGAGAGGGCCCCGGGCCCCAAGCCGGTGGAGCAGTGCTGTGCTGTGTGCAGGGCGGTGCCATGGGCATCCACGTCCACTGGAACTGCGACCTGGACACCAGGGCCTCTGACTGCTGGCCCCACTACTCCTTCCAGCTGCAGGAGCGGAGCTACAACTTCAGGTGCGGCCCCCACTGCCCACCTGCTCCGAGCCAGGTTCTTGTCTGCCTGTCCTCCTGTGGTGGTCGGGACAGACCACCCCTCCCAGAACTCTGGATGCCCACTATATGTGGGAGGGGGGCCCAGGGGAAGGAGAAGGTGGTCTCAGCTCCACGACCCCCAACACAGGCTCCATCCAGCCTCCCTCCTGAGCCCTATCTCCTCCACCCCACACCCCTGCTGCTGCTGGGACCCCTCCCCCAGCCCCTCCTCCCCCATCCTGCCTCTAGCACCTCCCTCCACTGCACAGGGGGCTTTCTTTTTTACTTTTCCCTTAAGGTTTTATCAAAAAAATTACAAAAATCTATAGAAAAGTTCAAAGATTAGTACCGTGAACACCCATATAGCTGTCATCTGGGTTCACCAGGGTTTTTTTTGTTTTTTGTTTTTACCATTTTGACACGTTTGCTTTCTCTCTCCTCTCTAGACTGAGCTGGATATATTTAGATAGATTTCAGACCAAACCATTTGAAAGTAAGGAGATGTCCGGCAGACACTCACCCTTCCCCAGGCTGTCCTGAGAATAAGGACCTTTCCCAAGTGACCGCTGTCCTGTTGTCACATTCAAGAAATTTAACACTGGCAGAATGAATCTAATATTTAAATTTCCCCAATTGTGCCAATAATAGTCCGAAATCTTTTTATTTTCCAGTCCAGGGTGTACTCAAGGAACTTGCATTGCATTTATTCTCATGCCTTTGAGTCTCCCAAGCAGACCTTCCCCTGCTGCTGCCCAGTGGGATCCTATGTTTCTGCCACCTCATGTCACCTCGTCACTTGCGTGCACACACACACAAGTGGACCTTGCCTGGACTGGTTTCACTGACCTCCCCTGCCCTTTGCAGCTATGTGGAGCTGGCCCCCACCTGTGCTCTGCTCCCCTTAGTTCTGTGCTCTCGCTGGTACTGCTTTGTCTAGAACTCCTTCCTGATCCCTGGAAAACCAACCTGCGTGTCCCCACTGCAGAAAGCCTTCCCTGGTTCCTAGGGGAGAGTGAGCTACCCCCTCTGGACCCTCACAGCCCTGGGCCTGCCCCCCAGCTCCCCCTGCCCCCACTGCAGGCATCTATTTAGAGACCCCTCTACCCCATCCCCTCAGCAGGCAGGGAGCTCCTGAGAGGCGGGTCCTGCTTGCTCTTTCCCTGTATCCTCAACAAAAAACCCAGGACTCAGGGTAGGGCTGGGGGTTTGTGGAGTCAGTGGGTGAGTAAGATGGAGGCCTGGGAGGGCCAGCCTGGCCGGGAAGCGGGCAGAACAGGCCACCAGACTCTCTCCTGCCCCCAGGACGGCCACTCACTGGTGGGAGGCCTCGGGTGTGGAGGTCCGAAGTCTGCTAAAGCTCTACGGGATCCGTTTTGACATCCTCGTCACTGGGCGGGTAGGTGGGCAGGGGCGGGTGGGTGGGGGGTGACAGGCACGGCTTAGAGGCTTACCCAGGTCTCTCAGGCAGGGAAGTTCGGGCTCATCCCCACACTCATCACTCTGGGCACAGGAGCAGCTTGGCTGGGCGTGGTGAGTCTGGCTGAAGCGTGCTCCCTCTGGCTTCGGTGAATGTGGGCCCAGGCCCATCCGATGGCACAGCCGAGCCCCCTGACGTTAGGTCTAGTTGGGGGGAGGTCTGGGGAGGTGGCGGGAGGGCAGGTTGGGGGCCGGGACACAGGTCAGTCCTGCCTCTCCCAGATCACCTTCCTGTGTGACCTGCTGCTGTTGTACGTGGATGGAGAAGCTCATTTCTACTGGAGGACCAAGTATGAGGAGGTAAGCTGCTGGCCTGCCTGGCGCCTGGGCTCTGCTACACTTCTGGGGAACGTCGGCCTGAGCCCCGACCTGCTGTCCTTATCTGCAGGCAAAAGCTCCAAAGGTGACCGCCAGCCCTGAGCAGACAAAACTGGCATCTGCACCCCTGCATCTGGCTGCCCAGGCTCCTTAGAGGGGCCCCAGCGCCTGTCCCAACAGCCAGGGCTGCTACCAGGAGCTGGACACCAAAGCCTTGGCCCTGGCGCCTGCTTGCTGGCCCATTCCTGAGGCCTGTTCCCTGCTGTCAGGGGTCGGGGCTGGGAAGGGAGGGGCCTTGCCTTGGGAACCTCATGGATGGAGCCCCAGCAGGACCAGGGCAGGGAGTGGGAGAATTCCATCCTTCAAATCCCAGGCACACTGTCCCTACCCTGACTCTGGCCTCGGCAGGGTACCGCCCAGGGAGCAGCAGAAGCTACTATTGCACAGAGACCTGCAGCGGAACATGTCCCAGGGCGCTGGTCACAAGGGCTCCAGCTGTGTCTGGAGAACTCTCTCCTAGCTCTGTCACCAGGGCTTCCAGCAGCGGCTCACTCACCAGTGGTCAGCACAGACCCTCCACTGGCTGTGCAGGCTCTAGCCCTCTCCCCTGGCAGCACCCCCATTGTAGGTAGAGCCCCCACCCTCTCAGCGCCGTTCCAGGGTCTGTGCTGCTGTAGTCTAGGGCAGGGTAGAAAGAGGTCTGACAAGAGGGCTGGCTGTCTCCGCTGCTCTGGTGCTGGGTACCTGGGGCTCGTCCCCACCCAGTTTGGGGGGGTCATCCATGGAATTCAGACTGGGGCAGGCAGATGACCCAACCCACTAGGACCTGGCAATGGCGCATGCACCAGCCCTTCCTGGTGGCAGCCCTCAGACTGTGGAGGGCTGGGATTGGTAGAAGAGGATGGAGAAGCTGAGTTGGTGGTCATTGGGTCCTTTGGGACCGTCTGTGTGCTCCTTGGTGACACCCAGCTCAACCTTCTGGAACTGTGGGGGTGGGGAGAATGTATATCTGGAATTCACTGCTACCCAAGGTCACACACCTAAGAACCAGCCCGAGGCAACTGCTCGAAGGAGGCCCTGTCCTTCGCTTCGGGTGGAGCCCAGTGGCCAGAAGGAATGCCCCAAACAAATTCCAGAGGCCCCGGCAGGCTGGCCTGGATCTGGCTGTGACGTCCTCACAGGGTGTGAGTCCTGCCTGCTGGAGAACTCCCCATGCGCCAGGGAGCCTACAGCTGGGAGGGAGGGACTGGCTGCAGGGGTCTGACCCTATCTTGGCCCCAGGAGAGCGGCAGGGGTTTGGGAGTGCACACCTGGGAGGCGAGGGGCTGCTTTCTCATGGGGCCCGGTGACTAGGCATGCTGGCCGCTTGCCGGGGCAGTGACATGGGCCAGCTGGGGAGGGCAGGGTTGGGGTTCAGGCTGGGCTAGCATCTGGAACCATCTGGCATCTGGAGCCTCAGCAAAGCCTTGGGGTCCCTGCTGCCTCGCAATCCCCAGAGCAGTGTCTCTGGGGAGGCAGGCCACAAAGGTCAGGGTGAGAGAACATGGCCCTGAGGTCTTTACCAGGGTGGGGTCCCATGTACAGGGCCCAAAGAAAGCTGATGTATGGCTTCAGGGTCCAGGAGTAAAGCCTGTCGACAGCAGCTTCCTGCGTGCTCCTTACAGGCAGAGACGGGAGCTAGTGGTGCCTGTGGTGGGCACAGCATCACCTGGGAGACGAGTGGGCAGTGCAGGGTGGGCCTGGGGACCCCACCCCAAGGACCAGGGGGGCTGGAAGGCACTTGGGGCAGGTTCAGGCTCTTGCGCACGCATCCCCTGGGGCAGCTGGAGAGCAGCACCAGGGTCTGAGCTTGGAAAGAGCTGCTGCCTCAGTCTGTACACAGTGCGCACCCCAGGGTAGCCGCGCGGGCATGTGGATATATGCTTGAAGCTGTGTGTGTGCCTGTGTGCGTGTGCCTCTGCCTCCCTAGGCAGGCCTCAGGCACATGCCATGCTCTGGAGAAACAAGGGGACCCCGAACTCTGCTGCCCTTTCTAGGTGGCCTCCTTGGGGCCCGGGCACTTCTGTCTGGACCCATCCCCCAGAGGAGGGGAGCCTGACACTGCCCCTCTTGTACCTAGTGCATATGGGTGTATGTATAGTGCCTTCTGAGCAGGGCAGAGGGCACTGGCCTGAGTGTCCTCGACTAAGGGCTGTCCCAGGGCTGGCATCTCCCCCTTGCAGAACTTCTGCACCTTTGCTTTGCACTGGGGACAATCGCGTGGTTCCTGGGGGCAGGTGAGGACTCAGTGCCGCAAAGAACAATGGACACAACACAGGCCACATGGCTGGCTAAGCAGTTATTATCATGGATTCCTGAGGCTGGGGCTTCTTCCCCACCCGCCCTACCCCACCTGCCCAGGTTGCTGGAGTTGGACATAAACTGGAAGGCACTGCACAAAGAGTCCACCACACCAGCGCTGGCCACACCGGCTCCAAAGACTCAAAGCTCGGCCCCTGAACTACAGTCCAAAGGACCCCCCCTAGCGTGGGCAGGCCCGCAAACCGGAGCTGCCTTGGATGGAGGGCAGGCAGCTCTCATGGACTGCTGGGGTCCTGGGCTGGCACCTGGCTGGGGGGCTGCACAACCTGCACTGTCTCCTCCAGGCTGCCGCTAGAGAAAACCACATAGTGTGTGATGGTCAGCCCCGGCAGCTCCCGCTGGTTCTCCTTGCTGTGCCAGATGCCATAGCCGAAATATACCAAGAGTCCTGCAGGGGTGGCGCGAGCATGAATGGCAGGTCTCAGCCCTGCTCGCCCTCCTCACCCTCCTCCTGCAGCCGGCCCAGGACACCAGCCTGGCCCCCCACTCACCGATCAGCAGCCAGATGGAGAAGCGCACCCAGGTCAGGTAGCTCAGCTTCAGCATGAGGCAGATGTTGAGGAGAATGCTCAGGGCTGGAATCAGGGGCACCATGGGGATCTGAAGGGGCAAGGGTAGGGCTGGGCTGGGCTGCAGGGGAGGCTGCTGGCCCAGGGCCCAACTGCTCTAGAGGCCTCAGAGCCTTTCTCTGCCTCTGGAGATTCTGGAGACCAGGGCCCACTCACAGACACAGGTGGATGTGCATGCTGCCTCCCCAGCCTGTGAGCCGTGGTCATCCCACTGCAGCGGAGGATGCGGGGGAGAAGGGAGCTGGTGGGCTGACAGCAAGTGGGTGTTGGGAGTGGAGAGAGGTACCTGGAAGGTGTCCTGCTGGCGTTGCTGCTGGTGGGCCCCCAGGACGAGGAGACTGAGCAGAAACATGATGCTGCAGAGCAGAAGCAGCAGGATGTAGCCCCAGCGAGGGAGGTGCAGGGCTGAGTCCCCGAAGATCAGCACACAGCCCAGGGTGATGGCTGAGGCCACCAGGACGCAGATCGCTGAAGCCACGGCCACTCCAGGGCTGCACCTATCCAGGAAGCCCAAGTAGGGCCTGAGGGCTGGCCGCAGCTGCCCAGGCTCGGGGGCTGGGACCTGCTCGGTGCCCACCAGCTCTATGTGGTCTGAGAAGGAATTGTACTCCTTGGCCGCAGGGCGGGGGCTGGCTGGGCTTGGGGAACTGGACAGAGGGGCCTTCTGGAATCGCAGCACGATAATGCTGATGGCCACGAAGGTGTAGGCCAGCAGTGTGCCAATGGACAGGAACTGGACCAATGCCTCGAGGTCCAGCAGCAGCGCCACCAAAACCGTGAGAACCCCGAACACCAGGATGCCTACCAGAGGCACCTGTGTCCGGGGGTGCACGTAGGCAAATGCCTGGAAGAATAGCCCGTCGGCGGCCATGGCGTAGATGATGCGGGGAAGGCAGAAGAGACCGTTGAGCAGGACAGTGGTCATGGCTGCAGCAGAGGGCGGGGGCTGGTCAGCATGGCACATAGACACCCCACGGGCCACAGCTGGGGCACCTCGGGAGCATGCGCACGAGTCTGCCTGGGTTCTCAGAGTGAGCCTGAGTGCCTATAGGGTGCAGGATTGTCACTACCCCAACCCAGGAGTGGGACACCTCAGTTTAGGTCACAGGCCACTGGGGAATCTGGTGAAGGCTGAGTACCTCTGTCCAGGAAAGGACACAGAAGCACACGCCCAGACCGACATACCATGTACAACGGGGAGTAGGTTGAGTAGGTCTCTGCCAACAAGCCTGGGTGGAGTCTAATAAGTAGCCCATTCCCGGGTCCATTATACAACTGGTAAAACTGAGGCCCAGCTGGAGATGTGTTCCCCGGGAGGCCAGGGCAGGACCCCACTTACCGCAGATGGAGCCAGTCGCCACGAGGTAGCCAGCCCAGCTGTAGCCCCGCTGGTAGAAGGCGTCAGCGAGCGCTGAATTAGGGTCCAGGCTGTGCCAGGGCACCATGAGGGTGAGCACCGTGGAGACCAGGATGTAGGCGCTAGCTGCGAGGCCTAGCGAGATGGCAATGGCCAGGGGCACGGCTCGCTTCGGGTTCCGGGCCTCCTCACTAGAGGCGGCAATGACGTCAAAGCCCACGAAGGCATAGAAGCAGGTCGCGGTGCCGGACATGATACCGGAGAAGCCGAAGGGTGCAAAGCCGCCCTCCTCCTTGCCCCAGTTGTGTGAGCGGGCGAGGACAAACCCCAGGATGATGATGAAGAGGATGACGACCATGCTGATGGCAGATAAGGTGTGGTTGAGCCAGGAGGAGACACGGGCTCCGCAAGAGACGAAGGTGGAGGCCAAAAGTAGGATGCCGGCAGCCAGGAAGTCAGGATATCTGGCCAGGAGGGGCACCTGCCAGATGCCCACATGGGCCTCGGTGAAGTTGCGGATGTGGTGGTCGAACATGGCGTCCAGGTAGCCGCTCCAGGCGCGGGCCACAGCAGCACCAGCTATGACGTACTCGAGCACCAGGTTCCAGCCGATGAGGAAGGCCCACAGCTCGCCCATGGACACATAGGTGAACAGGTAGGCAGAGCCTGTGCGGGGCACGCGTGCCCCAAACTCAGCGTAACACAGGGCCGCCAGCAGGGAGGCCACCGCGGCCACAGTGAAGGACACGATCACGGCCGGGCCGGTTATCTCCTTGGCCACGGTACCAGTGAGCACATAGAGGCCCGAGCCCACCATGGACCCCACTCCCAGCAGGGTCAGGTCCAGCGCGGACAGGCAGCGCTGCAGCGATGTCTCCATGGTGGCCTCCTCCAGCGGCTTCAGCCGTTTCAGCTTCTGGCAGAAGCGTGCCAGGCCAGCAGTGCTGGGCAGTCCTGAAGCCATTGCAGGCAGCTGAGAGGAGCACCAAGCCAGCTGCTGGCACCTACCAGGGCCAGAGGGGAGTGACAGGCTGCCCAGCCTTCCGTCCTCCCTCTGATCCCACCCAGGGGTAGTGAGCCGCTTAACACTGGCCTGCCAGAGGGCAGGGCTGGGACAGGGGTGGGTGGGAGGCCCTCTCTGCCTCAGGGGCTCCATGGTGGAGCCGAATCTGGGCCTGTTGGTGGGGGTGGGGGGTGGACCCTGAGGGTGAGAAGGGGGCAGCCCCAGGGAGCATGGCTGGGAACCAAGCCCCTGTGATCTGGGATCCCAGAGCGAGGTGGAAACCCGAGGCTTTCCGGGAGCTGGGCCAGGCCTCCAGGACGCGGAACAGGAGCGGAGCTGCAGCCCTGGGCGTAGCCCA